CAAAGGCTCAAACGCTGGCCATGTTGGAATTGGTGAAGAGAGGAAGCATGGTGAAGAGCCCTCCTCGTGTAGAGGAGGCAGCAGTCAGTTTATGTAGACCTGTAAGATGCACTGAAGGCCCATTTTCAGAAGTTAGTGACAAACTCTTTTCTGTAGATTCAGTTGAGCTGACAGGTTATACAGTAAAAAAATCTGTGCTTACACAGGGATCAAAGTAAAGACTTGACTGAGATAAATGCCTCTTTCACTTAAGTATTAGCAGTTTCAGCAGCACAGTTTTTCCTTTGATTGATGAGCAAGTGCAGTTGTACATCTCTGCATCTCTTAAAATACCTGAATTAATATGTATATCCCAAATTACTGATTTTCAATGAGATACATGTAGCTGGTCCTTCTCGGGTCACTGCTGGGCTCCATTTATTTCCATAGGGTTTGGGGGAGGGGAGGTAAATTTCCTTTTGCATGGAATTGATACCTTGATGAAGGAGTTTGGAAGTTCAAGTTCAGCAGTTTTGACCTCATTTTCACAGAAACTCTTAAGGGTTTTTTGGACAAAAGCCACTTCATTGTGTCTTTACAAAGATGGCTAAGTTAGCAAATACTCTTGCACAATTTAACATTGGATTTGAATTATAGTCATTGACTAGAGAGAAACTGGACACCTATATCACTAGGTGTGGCTGCCCTGTATTTTTTTGAGAAATTTCTGTCGAGCTACATAAAGCTATGTTTTAATTGATGTGGGAGCGTTCTTTTTGAGTACTGTAGTTCAGTAGGACCCTAGCAATCCAGTTGATCACAGGACTGAACAGTGCTTTATATTCAACGTAGTGGATTGTTAAACTTCTCCATGTTGAAGTCATTGACTGAGAGATATTTTTAATGTGGTTTGTGGGTTTGGTGGTGGGGGTTGGTTGGGTGTTTTTTTTTTTTTAACTTCTTGCTGCAGGTTGTAGTTTTAGAGTGTTTATACCGAGTCCCTTCTTAGTTACTGAAATGTCAGGTTAGTGCTGTACATTAGTTGTTTTATTGGGTTTATCTGGCAAGGTTTTGGAACTGGGAGGGCTGCAGAGGTGGCTTATGTGAGAAGCTGTTAGAAGCTTCCCCGATGTCTGATAGAGCCAATACCAGCCAGCTCTAAGACAGATCAAGGCTGAGTCCATCAGCGACGCTGGTAGTGCCTCTGTGATAATGTATTTAATTACAGAATCACAGAATCACACAGAATCGTAAGGGTTGGAAGGGACCTCAGGAGATCATCTAGTCCAACCCCCCTGCTAAAGCAGGCTCACCTAGAGCATGCTACACAGGACTTCATCCAGGCGGGCTTTGAATATCTCCAGAGAAGGAGACTCCACAACCTCCCTGGGCAGCCTGTTCCAGTGCTCTGCCACCCTCAGAGTGAAGAAGTTCTTCCTCATATTCAACTGAAACCTCTCGTGTTTCAGTTTGCATCCATTGCCCCTAGTCCTGTCGCTGGACACCACTGCAAACAGACTGCTTCCGTCCTCTTGACTTCCGCCCTTAAGATATTTGTATGCGTTGATGAGATCCCCTCTCAGTCTTCTCTTCTTCAGGCTGAACAAGCCCAACTCTCTCAGCCTTTCCTCGTAGGGGAGATGCTCCAGTCCCTTTATCATCCTAGTAGCTCTCCTCTGGACTCTTTCTAGGAGTTCCTCGTCTTTCTTGAACTGGGGAGCCCAGAACTGGACACAGTACTCCAGGTGGGGTCTCACCAGGGCAGAGTAGAGGGGGAGGAGAACCTCCCTCGACCTGCTGGCCACACTCCTCTTAATACACCCCAGGATACCATTGGCCTTCTTGGCAACAAGGGCACATTGCTGGCTCATGGTCAGCTTATTGTCCACCAGGACTCCCAGGTCCCTCTCAGCAGAGGTGGCATTGCTCAAGGAACAACGTCAGGGCCGATCCTGTTCAGCATCAGCATCATCAGTTACCAGCACAAGGGGCGGAAGGCACGTCAGCAAGTCGGCGGGTAATGGTAACCCAGAGGGGGGGGAAGCAGTTCACGGCCTTGATGGCAGGATTAGTCTTCAGAGGTACCCTGGATGAGACAGAGGAACGGGCCAAGAGGAACCTCCTGAAGTTCAGCAAACACAAAGACACTGTCCTGTCCCTGAGCTGGAATAGCCCCCAAGCATCAAGATGGGGTTGTGGACCCACTGGTTGGAGCAGCTCAGCCAAAAAGCATTGGGGTGCTGGCAGGCAAGACGAGGTGGCTTCCCCCAGAGCCCTCCCAATCCAAGGGGTTCTATGATTCCTAATAACTGTATCTCCCAAAGACCAACTTGACTTGGCCCTGGGTTTTTTCATCTTTTTTCACATGTCCCCACCAAAGCATACATAGTCACAGATTTTTGTAAACAGTGATTTCGTAGGTCAGCAACCTCAGTGGAAGAAAATTGTGTGTGTGTGCATGTGCGTCTGTTGGGTACAACTGTCAGCAGCAAAAAACGGAAGATGCAATTTAGCTCCTTTGTGAAGTTGCAGCATTCTGTTGTACTTGGTGCAATTTCCATTAAGAAGATAATGCCAAGCATGCTCCTTTTTACCTTCCTCCTATAGACTGTGAACATCTCTCTGCAACCCTTCCCCTTTCATCTTCTCCCCAGCTTTTACCTCCCTCTGTGTCAAGAGGCAAAGGTCCAACTCTAAGATGGTGCAACTGTGTAACCCTGGCTCAGGCTGCTGAGAAAACAAAGTTGTGGCAAGCGCTGCGCAATGGCGTGTAGGAAGGTGCAGTACAACCGGCAGCAGAGCTAGGCTGTCCCGTCTGGAGTTGCCAGTAGCTCACAGGATCAAAATGATGAATACCAGCACAGAAATTATTCTAACCACAAAGAGAATGAAAACAGGGAAAGAATCATAGAATTGTAGAATCATTTAGGTTGGAAAAGACCCTGGAGATCATTGAGTCCAACCGGAAACCTAATATTGCCAAGTCCACCACTAAACCATGTCCCTAAGTGCCACATCTACCTGCCTTTTAAATACCCCCAGGGATGGGGACTCAACCATTTCCCTGGGCAGCCCCTTCCAGTGCTTGACAGCCCTTTCTGTGAAGAAATTTTTTCTAATATCTAATCTAAACCTGCCCTGGTGCATCTTCAGGCCGTTTCCTCTCGTCCCATCACTTGTTGCTTGTCACTTATTACTGCCAGACAGCTGTGAACCAGTGTCATCAGTGCCCTGGTGTTGGACGTGGCGGTCGATGGCGGCTTGGCAACGGTGCCTTTCTGCTCTAGGGAGAGGCCGAGGCCTGCCCGGCCGGTGGGGGCTCCTGTGTCCTACCGGTGACCAGGTCAATGTTTACCTTGGAGCTTGTCAAATCCCGGCCCTCGCTTCTTCGTATGCGCTCCCGATAAACAACACTGGATCAAAAAGTTATCGTCAATGTTCTGGAGGAACCTCCTGGACTGTGCGCATCTTGCCGTGTGGTCCTTCCAGTTGATATCCGGATAGTTGAAGTCTCCCATGAGGACCACAGCCTGCGATTGTGAGGCTACATTTAGCTGCCTATAGAAGGCCTCATCAACTTCCTCATCTTGATTGGGTGGCCTATAGTAAACACCCACCACAGTGTCACCCATGTTGGCCTGCCCCTTAATTTTCACCCATAAACTTTCAACTTGTTCTTCATCCGCTCCCAGGTAGAGTTCTATACATTCCAGTTGCTCTTTTACATAAAGAGCAACTCCACCACCTCGTCTCATAGGCCTGTCTTTCCTGAAGAGCACATAGCCATCAATGGCAGCGTTCCAGTCATGCGTGTTGTCCCACCATGTCTCTGTAATCGCAATGAGATCATGGCCCCGCAACCACATACAGAACTCTAGCTCTTCCTGCTTGTTCCCCATGCTGCGTGCGTTGGTATAAAGGCATTTCAGTGAGGCAGCTGAGCACCTAGGCTTCCCTGGAGGGATGAAAGAAGATCTGCCACAGCCAAACCCCCGTTTAGGGCAGTTGGTCTTCTGGTTTTTGAGATGGGAAGTAGCCACATCACGTATATTGCTGCACTGAACAGACACACTTGTTCCCCCATCAGATGTGACTGCGATCTGACCCCGCACCCCACCCCCCAAGTCCTTTAGTTTAAAGCCCTCCGTACCAAGTTGGCCAACCTACTGCCTAGGATTCCCCTGCCCCGCCTAGAGAGGTGGACCCCATCTCTCCCTAACAGGTTGCAGTCGCCAAAGAACGTCCCATTGTCATAAAAGCCGAAACCCTCACGACGGCACCAGTCACGTAGCCATGAGTTTATGTACATGATGCGCCTGTATCTGGCCGCTCCCTTCCCTCGGACTGGTAAGATAGAGGAAAAGATAACCTGGGCCCCAATGCTTTTCACTTGTACCCCCAGGGCTCTGAAGTCTTCTTTGATTTTGCTCAGGTTTCTGCTTTCCGTATCATTTGTTCCTACGTGAAATAGTAGTAGAGGGTAGTAATTAAGAAAGGGCAAAACCCGCTGCAGAACAACTGTGAGAGAGGAGTGAGAATATGTGAGAGTAACAGCCCTGCAGACACCAAGGTCGGAGAGAAAGGAGGGGGAGGAGGTCCTCCAGGCACCAGAGCAGAGATTCCCCTGCAGCCCATGGTGAAGACCATGGTGAGGCAGGCTGTCCCCTTGCAGCCCATGGAGGTCCATGGTGGAGCAGATGCCACCCTGACTCATTTAGACACCTTTTCTGCTGGAGTACTTTTAATAATAATAAACTTCTTTTTTTTTAAATTCACAGTGTGAACAAGCAGGTAACAGTGTTAGGTTTGATCTCCTGAAATGTCAGCAGACTATACTTATATTATTTGTTGATGTAAGCAATGAGTTCTTGGTGAGTTCTCATCTTCCATACATATCTGTTCACTCAACTAATTGTAGTATCAATTTATTTTTTGCTAGGGGTTTAGGGACTAACTTTTCAGGTTGGATTTTTTTTTTCCAGAGGATGAATTGTCTTTGATTTTTCTGTAACTTCCTACAGGTATCGGACGATGGTCGATATGTCTTGCTGTCTATCCGAGAAGGGTGTGATCCAGTGAACAGACTGTGGTACTGTGACCTACAGGCAGAGTCTCAGGGTATATCAGGTATGCGTCTTCTTGCTTTGTAAGTTTCTCTTCATTTTGAAACAATGTAAGACTGGAAATACTTTATTTATGTTTAAATATATATATTTAAATTTATGTTGCTTAACCTCCTCTCTTTTGTTCTAATGCAGAGATCATGAGAAAATATGCACTGCTTCTGCTAGCATTCAAATTTCTTTTATGTACCAGTAGATGGAAAACTCCATTCTTAGTTCTGTAGCTTGTTTAAAAGGAAAAATTGAGATAATATAAGCAGCCTTACCAATGTATGTTCATTTCTTTCTACACCACTAGTACTTTTTCAGGTTTAATTTTTTTACATTTCAAAAATTCATGTGTCTCCCTTCAAGCACTGATCTCCCTTTTTCAAAAAAGTACCTGGTTTATAGGTAACATTTTTTCTCCATATTGTACTAGGAAATGAACAAAAATCCTCTAATATTTTAGCAATATAACTTTGCTTTGTAGCATCATTATTATTATGGTGGGAGTATCTACTCATATTTCAAATACTGATTCATGAACTGTTCGCTTCTTGCCTTCTAGTTGGATTAGCCTTTGGCTTTTGTGTATTTGACTTTTTATCCTCAGTGGTATGGGTTTAAAGTATGGTACTTTGCTCCATATGGCTGTTGTTGAGGGCTGGCATAGTTAGTTGCTTTACTGATTGGTGGTTTTGTATTTCCAGAGTATTGGATTAATGAAATCTCTTCTTCAACATGTGTTTTGCATAAACACAATTTAGCTCTTTTTGATTTTTTTTATTTTTTTTTTTGTGGCTTCTGTCTTCAGAAACTTCAGAAACAGAATAAATGCTGCAGTAGCTCCTTGTTAAATATTGGATCTTGAGAAAATTGCTCTCTTGCCCAGAAACAGAATATTTGAGGCTTATGAGCATGATTAGAACTGGTAGCAGCTCTGCAGTGCGGGGTGTATAGTTTTGTTTCTCCCTGCCTTTATTATGCTACGTGGATGTGTGGTCTTCCCTTAGTTCATCAACAAGCCTTAGTGCAATATTTTGAATTTTGGTGAGTTAAGTGTTAGTGATGATAGTTAACAGTTTTATATTCCTTTCTGGGGGCTTATTAATTTTGTTTTGTGGGCATGTAACTCTTTTCTTTTTATGAAGGATATTTCTTAATTACTTCTAAACTTGTCTTGGACAACTGAGTAGTTGTTTAATGTCCACTTGAATGTAGAAAATGGCAGACCTGAGCAAAATCATTACAGATGCTTTCCATGCAACTTTATTACAAACGTAAAACTGTAGATAAAACTGTTTAGTACAGTGAAGCATTTTCATAAATGATAAATTGCATTGTCATTCAAGTTGACACTTTTCAGCTAGAGATAGAATACATAAAAAGCATAGCTCTCCTCCCGTATTCACCCTCCTGTGTACAGATACACAGGACAATCTTGAAGAGAATACTAGCATGAAGCCTTGAAAGACCATAGATGAGGTTATGAAACTTCTATTTTTGTACTACCTGGTATAAGGTAAACCTACAGTTTAACCTTTTCTGGGCTTGGAAATGCTTCTTTAAGTTTTTTCTCTGAACCGGGCTTTGACTTGCCTCCCTATTTGTTTATTGATAGGTGGGAGTTGTTCCACCTCTCCAAATCTCCCTTTGGCATGTAAAAGGAAAGATCTGTAACTATTTGCTTGAACAAATTCTCTATTTTATAAACTTAGGAACTGTCTCATTAAGTTGCCAAATGCATTTTCTGTACAAAGACTCTTACCTTTTACCCCTGTCTTTCTACCTCCATGTTAGTAAGTACAGACCTAACAGTAAACATCTGGGTTGATGTTTCCTAGAGTTGATCTTCCATTCAAATATAAATACCCTGAACCACTGATCCTTCAGCCTTTGGTGGCCAGAGGCAATAAAATTGAGCAAACAGTTATACATGTTAGCTTAATTCTTGGCTGTATCTATCTAGACTACAAGATGTGTAGTTTAGTTCAATTTGTAATTTTCCAGGACAGCAAGTATAGAAGAGGTTCCTTATGAAGTTAGGAGAAATTATTGCCAAATTTCATTATTTAAGCTGTTTTAGACAAGTAAATAAGCAGTTCTAGAATAACAGAGTTTAATGGCAACTCTTAAGACTTGCATTTAACTGCCAGTTTGTACAAACTGCTCAGTAATATCTCAAGGTATGTTCAGATGGGTTAAGATTAAGCAATGCTTAGAGAATTCTTAATGAAACCATGAGATACACAGCATTACAAGAGCCAGTATTTTTGTGTAGTATGCAGTGTTCAGTACAAGGGGCTATGTAAGTAGTAGGCTTGCTATGAGGTGTTAAAATAATCAAGTGTCTTAGAAAAGTATCTGTACTTCTAAAATGTATTACATTATCCTTCTATGTTCTAGAACAGACTATTTATGAGTAGACCTCATACCTTTGGTGACATCTAAAATACTTCTTCCCATTTTCCTCCTTCAGAACTATTGAATGTTTAATCTGAGCCTTTTTACGTGACCTGTTTACAATGATCTGTTTATTCAAAAATCCATTCTAGTGTTCCAAATAACTCATCTTAGTTCTGAAAAAAAATATAAAAGCAAAAAAAAGTAGGATAGCTAGTGTTTTTCCAGTGTCTTAGATGGGACTTGATATAGATAAATAATTAGATTTTCAGACATGTCTTTTTCTTCCCTACTTGCTTTTTTAATCCAGGTTGTCCAAGAATACACTAGTTCTTTAGAAAATTGTAATTTTATGCTTTAGATCTTTCAAGTCTCAACCTTCTCTAGGCTTGTTCAGAGGGCATCACCCACAAAAGGCAATGAGGCCTTTTCAAAAGGTAACAGGCAGTAGTAATGTTTTATATGGCATCCATTATATATACACCATGTATTTCTTTGTGAGGAAGTAAAAGCAACTGCTAAGCAAAAGGTAATGGATAAGTTCTAATATTTACGAACTTTGTGGCAAAACCCCTAGTTATAGAATGACACACTTCAACAGATTTTTAAAGCCGCTCTGTAGCAGATATTGTTTATAAAATAATGTTTCAATCATGTAATCATGATTTTTTCTCTTTTAAAATACTTTCTGTCCTAAGGTAAACATTCCACTGCATACATGATACATGTAAAACTAAGTTAGAGAATTTTCTGTTACTTAGAATTGCACAAAAATGCAAAGAACTAATTCTCACCTGTGACCTACCTTATTGCCTCTTTTCCTTTGACAGGAGGTAATCAAATTTCTTAGTTCCTTAAATGCTTTTCTTTAGAAAGAACATGTTCTCATTGTCAAGAAATATGACCACTGAAGAGTGAATTTCTTTTCCTTCTGATGTGAGGGCTTTGTGGAGCTAACTGTAGTTGTGTTACTATTTCTGAGAGATGATGGTTGCAATGATAAAGGCTGCTTATTTGGCTCACTTGCTAACAAATGGCTGTGAAGAAGTCCTAAAGTTCAGTGTTGCGACCTTAGTACTGACTGCCAAAATGCCAGGTGGTTCTCTGTGGGAAAGCTGGAGGGATGTCTGTGAAATGCAGTTCATTATGGTTATAGATCAGTAGTTTATTCCCAAGATAGAGAAATGTATCTTTTTACTGGGAGATAAATATCCATATTTCATGACTTAAGAAAAGTAACGTGGGATAACTTGATTTTTAAAAATTTAGCACAATTACTTGTTTATGCCTGTGTGTATTTTTGGTAGTTCAGAAGCAAAGAGAATGAATTTTGAAAACTAAAAATAAATGCTGCTATTAACACTTTCTGCTCCTGAAAAAGGAGAAATAATTTCTTGGGGGATGGGAGGTGGGAAAAGTGTCTTGTGTTAGGAACTAAAATAGCCAGAAACTAGAAGAGGATGAGAAAGTCCTCTCTATCTGTAGGTTAGATGTAAATTTGTAGAGGAAGTGGTGAAAATGGCAGGGTATGTTGAATGATTGAATGTGTGTTTCCTAAACAGACTTCTGTTCTTTTATAACCGTGGCAAAGTTTGCATTAGAAGATTCTCTTTCAGTGGGTAGGATGTCAGGACAAGATAACAAAATATAACCAAAAAGGTGCCATCAGACTTAATAACCAGAAAGTTGCATCAGACCTAGATCCAGCATGTACTATCTACCATAAGAAATAAACCAGCAGTTTTTCAATATCTAAGACTCATCAGATCTTTCAGTTATTGAATCTTTGTGGTGTTGATAGTAACTTCTCTGTAGTTTACTTCAGGCTAACACTATCCAAACCACAAAGGGCCAACTTCTTGCCTGTTTGTTATGGTGTGAGGTATGTTTCACAGCTTTTAAGTTGACTTACTTAGTGTCACACTTCAGCATTTAACTGTTACTGTACTGATGAGTGTCTTAGTTTCTAGACAGTTAACGTAGCAGTAATATTTTTTCTCTTGTTCGTTAGTTTTTTAACTTTGATTGTCTTAGGCCTCAGTCCTCAAAATTAAAATTTGCTTTAGAAGTACTGAATAAATACTCCAGAGAGTTCACAATCCAGGATCTGCTGAAGCCTTAAATGAGTCAATAGGAATGTGACAAATTGAAAAATTTCTTGAAAACAACCCAGCCTTCCCCAAGGAGAAGCACTAAGTTGCTCTATTCAGTGAGGACTGTAGAAGGAAATTTCTCTTAGCAATAACGCATCTGTCATCAACACCATTCCCTGAATGAAATGAGAATTTTTTTCCTTCTCCTAAGCCTGAATGCTTATTAATTCTGTAGGACAGATTAGTTATCTTAAATTGATTTTATCCTGATTGGGTTTGATTAGTTAAGAGATGTCTTCATTGCATAGTGTGTACAGTGGTAGAATTTATTAACATTTGTTATTTCACACTTATGTAATAGTCTGGCTCATTAAAACATTGAAAAACAGTAATTATAGTCTCTTCCAAAGTTGGACCCAAATGATCTGCTTTTTCAGTATTTAGGGTGTTTTGAAAGTTCATAATTATAATTTGATCTTGTCCAATCCCAAAATGTCTGCATTCTTGTTTTATAGAAAATGAAAAT